CCCAGCCTTCTGTGCTTCCGTATATTTTCTTCTCTGCACATCCCTGCCGCTTGCGCTGCGTAGTCACGTTGAAACGTCACGCCAAAACACCGCATTGACCACGTCATATAGTTTTGCAATATCCCATACACGCCGCGTGATCTTAGCCTGCCCGACATTGCGACCATAGTATCAGATGCATCATGACGACGTCCGTTCCGGCGGGGATTATGTACTCAGCTCGATATAGAGGCCGCTTTGTGGGGAACATGCCATTTGACCGGTTGTTGGGGCCCAAAAGTTACCGACCTAGACTACTGCCAGCCATAGTGATATCTCCCCACCAGACCAGATGAGTACGGAAGTAGGCGAGCCGTCCACCCCCCAACTCGGGCTCACCTCAGAAAGGTGTTCTAGGACGGTACGGAGTGGAGGCTGGAGTGAGACAAGGGCTCCACACGTAATGGACAGTCTGTTGTGGCGCGCCGATGTGTTTACGGAGATTGGTACCGGATACTCCAGAATGTGCGTTCAATTTTGGAAATAGTAGTGTTTGCAGCGAATCGATGACCACTCATCCCCCCTTCCGATGAAACAGGCGTGCGCCTCTTTGCCTGCTCCGGGCTTTTCTTGATAAGTACCCTTTCTCAAGGTTCGCTCTCGCTCTCTCTCTCCAAGTCTGACTTTGGTTGTCGACTATTCATCGTTCCGTCTTCTCCCGCTTACTCTTAGTCAGAACACAGACTCTGTATACGTGAAAGAAGGTTCTTTTTCGGCAAGTGCACTGTCAGATTTACCTAGTGAAGATCGCTAGTAAGCCTCCTTAGAGTTCCACTTTTGTTATTCTTGTACTGATGTCGATGTGCAGCCAAATACCTACTGGGAATACCAGTGTTCGGTTACTGAACACCTTGTGCTCTTGCAAAGTTCAGTAGACGTCACTCGTTCTTTTCCCTTTTTCCTCTTTTATATCTCCAAGTCCTCTCTCTTTTTTGGATTTTGGTATTGTAATTGTACATTTCTTACCATGTCGTCCACACCGAACAGCAACCTTTCCGACAGCCGGAGCCTCAGTTCCATCGATGAGGCTGAAAAGGGCATGTACGATAGTACACTGGAGCTCACAGCACCTGGCTTCGTATACATGGATCCGAAAAAGCAATCCCTTGCACCTACACCAGCACTTCCAGTTTCTCCAGTGCACCAGGGCATAACACCTTGTGCGAGCGTACCAGAATTGACATTGCCAGCCGGGGAGAAACCGAATGGTGCCGCTGAAGTCAAGACAACAGTCAAAGGGCCAGTGACTGATAAGCCGCGGAAACCGAAGACCAGTCGATGGGTTCTCTTCACGCTCTGGTTCAACACGTACCGAAAGTTCTTCACATTCGTTACTTTGCTCAACCTCACGGGCATCATCTTGGCAGCATGCGGTCGCTTTCCCTACGCCGAGAACCATCTCGGTGCTCTTGTGCTAGGAAATTTGCTCTGTGCAATCCTCATGCGGAATGAGCTGTGGATGCGCTTTTTGTACATGGTTGCCATTTATGGTCTGAGCGTGTGTATGCCCTTGCTCCTTCGTACACATCCATCACTGACCTGTTTGAACAGTGGACACCAATACCTGTGAAGCTGGCAGTGGTATCTATACTGCAACATGTTGGAGGTATCCACTCTGGATGCGCGCTATCCGGTGCTGCGTAAGTGAACACAACTTGTCTAACAAAGAGCTGTACTGACACTCGGCGTAGTTGGCTCATCTACAAGGTCGTCGACATCATCAGATACCGCGCTGTGCAGCATCCCGCTATAATTGCGAGCGGCATCATCACTAATGTTTTCATTATCATTTCTGTCTTGAGTGCTTTCCCTTGGGTTCGGAAGTAAGTCGACGGACACATCACTTCAGACACATCCGCTTACGTCGTACTCAGCACCTATCACAACGTCTTTGAAAGACACCACCGTTTTGTCGGATGGCTAGGTCTTGCAGTATGTGATTCAAGATGTCACCTCAGAAAGGATACATGCTGACGACCTCCAGATGACATGGGTCTTTGTGATCATGAGCAACACCTACGACATCAAGCGCGGCGAATGGCGCAGAGACTCTCACAGCCTTCTCAGCGTCCAAGAGCTCTGGTTCGCCGTCTTCATGACCATCTTGTCCGTTCCCCTTTCACCCAGAAATACCATCCACCGCTAACCCCTCCTCAGCGTCCTCATCCCCTGGGTTACCCTCCGCGAAGTCCCCGTCGAAGTCGAAATCCCCTCGCCCAAAGTTGCCGTTCTCAAGTTTGAGCGCGGCATGCAGCAAGGTTTACTCGGCCGCATCAGCCGCACATCCGTCATGGAGTACCACGCCTTTGGCATCATCAGCGAAGGCCGCAAGTCCGGCTGCCACTACATGATCTGCGGCGTCCAGGGTGACTTCACACGCGGCCTTGTTGCCAACCCCCCGAAAACCGTGTGGACCCGCCAACTCAAATTTGGTACGTCATTTATCTACTTGCAACTCCCCCCAGACCCCCAATATTCCATGTACATGAATACTAACGAAACACTCCGTCCCCACAGCCGGCCCCGGTCACGCCTCCGCCATGTTCAATCGCGGCATCCGTATCTGTACCGGCACAGGTATCGGCGCCGCTCTCTCCACCTGCATCCAGTCGCCCAACTGGTTCCTCATCTGGATCGGATCGGACCAGGAGCGCACATTTGGACCTACCGTCGCGGGCCTCATTCACAAGCACATCGAGCCTGAGCGCATGATCCTCTGGGATAGCAAGAAACGTGGTGGTCGACCCGATACGATGGCTTTGCTGAGAGAGACGTGGAAGAGCTTTGGTGCAGAGGTTATTTTTATTACGAGTAATAAGCAAGGAAATGATGAGATGATGAGGGGTTGCAAGGAGGAAGGAATGCATGCGTTTGGGACGTTGTGGGATTTTTAAGAGGGGGTTCGACGATGAAGATGGTTGTAGCAAGCGTTTTTTGGTTCTTGAGATGAGTATCTTTGGTGTTTCTTTTTTTTTCTCTCTCTGAGCATTTTTACCTGGCGTTTATATCTTACTTCTCGCTGTTACTTTTTGGATGTTCAGAAGTATTTCTTCCTTTTGTATCTTCATCATATCATCATATCTCTCCTTCCCTTTCGGACTTGATACACGGCCTTTTTTGTAAGTAGATATTAGAACGCTGCATATATACAGTCATGGTTCATAGTTGCATACGCATTTTCTCTTCCTTCATGCTGTTAAGTGCGCGAAATATTTCTTGCATGTTTCATACCTCATATGTGCATGAGTAGATATGTTGTTCTCGCTCGCAGCGTTCAACCCTGTTGTTCGTACCCAGACGCACTGGTTGTCTCAAGATAGCTAAAAACAACAACAGGACTAGACTCCGCTCCCCACAGTTTCTCTAAGAATACACCAAACAAGTTGCTAGAACGTGGGTTCCTCGTATCACCATTCATCGCAACGCCGAAACTCTCTTCCTCCAAGTCGTCAAAGAAATCTCCATATACTCACGGCCATGGCTCCGAAAAGCCAATTCTAATCGTCGGAAGCGCAGATGCAAAACGCAGACGCATCTTTCCATGTCGATGAGCCCTCCTCATCAAGATCAGGCAAACACATACGCGCATACACATCGTCATCACCACATAGCACAGCCTCTCGCCTATCTGTCGTTTTACTGCCCAACCTACTTTCCCCAACGCACCCACCACCTCAAAACCACGTACATCTTCCCCGGCCCCACTTGCCTCGTCTCAATCTATCCACGCACGGGTGGAAAGACGCTATCGAAAGACGTGCAGTGATGCGGTAGATTAAATGTGGGCGCGAAGGTTCTAGTGGGGGGGTCTGAAGTACGAGTGGCGTTTTGGAAGACTGAGGGACCCGCTTTCGAGGGTGGGATGGGGAAGATGGGAGGGTATGTCACTGCCAGGTATGCAAACGGATAAGGGAAGGTTTTGCGTTGCTTAGCGCGGCTGTAGAAAGATTGGATACGTGCCCTGGCTGAATGTATGTGTATCTGCAACCGGGTATTCGGGAACAACAAGAGTCTGCCTCACGCGACGTCATGACGGAGAGCAGGTGCAAGCGCAAGGGTTAGTGTGGGGGGAGGGAGCAAGAAATGATGTAGTTCATCCTTAGAAAGTAAAGTTTGCCCAAGTTGCGGGAAGTCGGGAAGTCGGGCGCGTAGATCCGGGAGTAATTAAGGTACCGATTTATTGCTTTCTTGGCTTCTCTTTTCTTCTCATCTTGCGTAAGTTTGAGTTTGTTTAGGAGGGTCCACTGACGTATGATCTGGATCGTGGTCTAGAAGGGCGTTGCTTCTGGAAGATGACCAGTATAAAGTTATGGGAGATGAAGGGTTTTTAACCAAGGTTGAGCAGGAATTGTTTGCTTTTGTACAAGACACAGACGTGATGCCGAGAGAACCGCCTATGTTCTTTGGTTACAGTGAGCTGTGAAGGCGATCCAGGGGTTGATGAAGTTTACTTTTTTCTTCCTGTCCTGATGAATGAAAAAAGTCTATCGTGCAGCGATCGAAATCTTGTTGCACCTTGAACCCTGATGAGCAAAAAGCTGCTCATGTTCTTACACGCAGTTACTTGCATGGCGCATTCTTTGGGTTTTTTGATCACGCAACGCAACACACTGCTGCCAAATTACTTGAATTTTCCGTCCCTCATCGGTAGAGCACGATTCCCGGTAACTGGAAGCGACAATCCTCTCGCCATGCAACAAACAATACGGCACTGGCCACGCGATGGCGGGGGTCCTGCTATGTCCGTAACGCGTGGCAATGCCGTCAAGTGTCCCGAAGTATGCATGCGCAATACCGCGGTTGCATGTCTCTAATGAGGTTAGAGTTCTTGATGCGGATGATGCCGAATGCGGTTACACCAGTTAAACAACCACAAACGTTGCAAAGTGGGGCATACACGGCTCATTGAAATTGAGAATATAATTCGTTAAAATGGGAATCTTTTCATCACAAGAGCCAACGACAAGATGGCCGAGCGGTTAAGGCGCATGACTCAAGCGAAAGCTTTCCCCCTCAGCGAGGAAGTGTTCATGTAGAGAAATCTGCGTGGGTTCGAGTCCCACTCTTGTCATCATCTTTTTTGTTATTCTTTTTGCCTCGAGGAAGGTGCAGCAGCATGTGTAGCAGGTAGGCATACTGGGAGGCATGACCAAATTTTTGTTGACTCGGAATCGTTGATGCAAACGATTCGCAACTGTGAAGCAGAGACCGAGGAGGAACATCACCTGGTATCTGTATCGATACGCCATTCATGGAGCAGAAGAGTGTTAAGAAACAGTGGTATTTGTGTATGTAAACTACGACTGAGAAGGAAACGCAGTGGACTAGAAAAGAAGCAGCAGCACGATATAGACAAGAAGCTGCGGCGTAACATACGAAATTGGGCCACGCACATGGAACAGCACAAGGCATCGGGGTTCCTGCAGCGTCGATCTCGAGGTGGCGTCCGACACCTGACTGATGCACCACCAGGTTGATGCAGTAGCCAGAGTAAGAAGTTGCACAACAACGAGAACAAGGGATGTAGTGGCTACGGAATATGGGCGGAGGCAGGTATACCGAGAAGAAAGAGAAAGAGACAAGGACAAAGTAAAATAAGGCTGTAATATTTCGTATGAGAAGAAGCAAAAGACCAGAAGAAGTTGAATATAACAGTAGTAGTAGTAGCAGTAGCAGCAACACAAGCGAAATCAGAACGCCAAACCCAGCCGCGAGGCTTTCCAGTTTAAGCAAGTAGAGGAAATGTCGTGTGTCCGCGAGGACGTTGTGTGTCTGTTTGTCTTTTCGTGATGGTGTGGCAAGGGATAAATATGTGGAGAAGAAGGGAAGGGAGGTGAGGTGAGGTGAGGGGCAGGGTGGATGTGGGTGTGGGTGTGTCGGGTGGGTGGGTTCGACAACACTGTTTCTGATGGTAGTACTTTGCGGGCCCAGCTCGCTGGATCCCGTTTTCTCCAACCAACCTCCTCCGCCTCGCTCCCTTCCTCCCTTGTCTCTTTTTTTGGGCTCAATTCATATGCGGCGGTCCAGGCGGTCGACGCGCGCCTTGAAGCTTTTTACAATCTCGCCGATGCGCCGTACTTTGTCGAATTCGACCTGGAGCTCGTCGATTTCGCGGAGGATGGCACGGAAGCGGGCGATTTCGGCGTCGGCCATTTGCATGGCGTTGCCTGCGCGGTCGTACTGCATTTGGGTTGCTGTTTGTGTCTGTTGGGTGAGCTGGGGAGCGGAGGTGGGTTAGCTTGTGTATGCTGCTTGGTGCTGTTCCTCCGAGCCAGAGCAGAGGGAGAGACTCACATACTGCCAGCGCTGCTGGATGGAATACATTAAACGATCAAAGTGGGCGCTGAGCGCCTGCAAACTAGAAGGATCCAGGAGGAGACGGCCCTGGCTAGAGGCGTGAGAAGCAGCGCGCGAGGAATTGGAGCCCTGCTGCGAGGCGGCAATTTGCTGCTGAAGAAATCTGCTCTCGCTCGAGTTGAGGCCCAGTTCAGACACTGGGATGGCAGACATGTGCACATAATTATCTTAAGAACATGGTCGGTCGGATGGAACCCTTCTGGCTTTGCTTTCTCCCCTGTGGATGTGCGTGTGTAGGATTGGTGTGTGTGACGCCCTGGAAAGCTCAATGCTTGGGACGGTAGCAATTGTTACTAGTGGGCTCTGGAGCTGCTGGGCAACGTTACGATATCCATGCGTCGAGGAGGGAATGGGGACGGAGGAATATGCACGCTGATGTTGTTTAGGGATCATGGAAGGCGCGGCTGAGAGGGCCCGCCAAGTGGCCGCCGGCTACCTCTCACCAACAACCTTACCTCGCCCACTACCACCCACACATGTCACCCCCGGAAAAGCAAAGACCTGCGAACGCCCAACTATCCCACACCCTCATCTCCTCTTAGCCGGCTGCAGCCCTACGTCCTGCCGCCCGAGTCCCGACCGCGTGTGCAGCACTCGTTGTGCACTTGGTGCTGCACCGGTTCTGATGCGCGACACGGCGCGTATCGCAACGAGCGAGCATAGCCGTCTGCAAGCCCCTCCCTACTCTCCTACTCTTACTCTTTCACTTTGGTCCACTCGCCGAACCACCATGGCCATTGTGCTTTTTTGTGCACCCACCATCTAGGTGCTGTGCCGTCCAGGCGCGGCCCACTGACTCCGCATGCACACCCTCTTGATCCCCCCGCGACAAGGATGTCTTTGATTGTGCCGTCAGGTTCATGGGTGAATGTCGACCCCACCAGCTCCCATGAGGGAGGGGGTGTACACAACTCCCGGCCGGGACCATCGACGAACCACATGCAGAAGGTGACAATGCTCTGGGGGCAACGTGATGAGAATCTGCCGCTGGGCTTGAAAACCAACAACCTCGTCTCAAGCAAAGCATTTCAAGTGGCTTTCACAAAAGAGCACAAGATGTGCCGAGGCAACAAGGCCCCCCCTGGACACACACCAGACCTTCTTCATGGATGTAGACAGGATACGCGACTTATCACACGTCCGTGACAGAGCGCTTGTTCCTGTCACATCTTTGACATGCTTCAACTGTATCCTTGACACCTGGTATCAATAGTCAAACTTTGTTTCATAAGTGAACAACGATTCATATTTTCCCACATTAACTCCCGGCCTAGGGTATCCTGCTAAAGAAAAAAAGGAGAGAGCTGGTTCGCTCATGTTCGTCCAAGTCGTCATATAGTTACAGGTAAAGTGGAAGAAAAGGAAAAAAAGGGGGTATATACACCAAAGCCTACCAACGCTATGCACAACAGGGGGAAGAAAAGGAAAACTGCAAACGGTCTTATGACCAACGCTCTTTACAAAGCATAATTTTCGGCGTGAAGGAAAATCTCGTCACGTCCACTGTCACTCCACACGCTTCTTTGCAACTGCGCAACCGTCTCACTGACGCTGATGCGCATGGCCGGTGGCCCGCAAACAAACACGCAGGTACGCCTGCCAAAGTTTCGACTGAGGCCTTTGAGCAAGTATGGTATATCCGGGCGTCCGTATTCTGTGCTCCATCCGTCCTTCTTCTTGACGGCAGCGGGCAAGAACGCGAAGCGCATCAAGTTCTTTTGGAACTCGGTGGGTGTAGAGGGGAATCCAAAGTCGAATCCTTGTGTAGTCTCCACAGGGTTGTGGACGATACTAGGGGCTATGGCTCCAGACCCGGCTGAAATGGCCTGTGAAATGTCGAGAGAGAGGTTACGGTCCTGACGACGAGCGGCCAGTCCGCGTGGCGCGGGGGCAATCACGTCGGGGTTAGAACTATTTGCTGACTCGGCGGAGTTGCGGCCGTTGTTGTAGCCGGGGCGCGGTGGGGCTAGATGACCCCTGTTGACGGGCAACAAGTGTGCCTGTGGGAGCGCGGTGATGTTGTCTTCGTTCTCACGTCTAAGTTCATACTCCTTCTCTGGGTCGCCTTGTGCTTCGTCGCGGATAAGAGCCGAGTGTCGCTTAGACGAAATGCCCGACAAGCGGTGTTCAGCAATGTTCTGGAAAGCGTCGTTGACCTTGTCGTGAAAGTAAAGCGACACTGGACGGGTGGGTGTCTTTGCACTAACCAGTCCACCAGCGGGGTTGCGCTTTGCTGCAGTAATGTAGAACTGGCATTCTACTGTCTCAGGCGGTGCGAATTCTCGGCAGATGCGAAGTTCTTCTTTGAACCACTCCATGGTCTCAGGACGCTTGAGGGCCCAGATGACATGGATCTTGCGCGTGACTGCCTTACCATCGCGCATCTTCTTGATCAATGATAGAAGCTGAGAGACAATGGCTGTAATGCCACTGCCGCCGGCGATGAGCACAACATCATCAAAGGCTTCAATACGTCGTTGCATGCCTCCGTAAGGGCCATCGATGAAAGCTCGGTAGGTATGCCACGGGCCGTGGTCGAGCGCGTTTTCGAGAACCTTGCGAGTGAAGCCGCCAAACGGTCGGAAGACCAAGACCATGTCGCGGTATCCCTCACCGTATTCAGAAGGAAAGTCTTCGCTGCAGAGCGAGGCGATGGTGAAAGGGTGGTTTTCGAACACTGAAATGCCAGGCATGCGGAGGTAGACATATTGTCCAGGTCTCCACGTCATCTGAGTCGGGATGGTGACCTTGATGGCGTTTTCCGGCATAAGTGTCACGGCAGCCTCATCACCAATGAGCCAAGATAGACGTCCAGGGCGAGTCCAGTTGAGGTAAAAGAGCCGCATAAAGTATGAAGTTATCCAGATGGCAAGGGTCGAGAGGAGATAATGCCACGATGTGAGGTAGTTATTGCAATGCCAGAACATCATGCCCAGGAAGACGATGGAAACGGGCACGTGGAGCGCCACAAAGAGCTCGTATATTCGATGGCGGAGAGGTGCGATTGAATGTGTACAAAGAAAGCAAAGGGGAACAAGTGCTGCGATACCTGGAATCTGTCAGTTTGCATCATGTGACCACTCGGAATAGTAAATGTACCTGTGCCATAGATGTACATTCCTTCACGCTGTTGGAACAGCTGCTGGAAAGATGCTCGTGCGCCCTTTTCCCAGACTGGAGTGATGTAAAAGGGGACAGTGTGCAAGATGCTAAGCAGAAGGCAGATGTATGCCGCCCACCTGTGTAGCACATTCAATCGCTCGTGGCTGATACCGGTCACCATCGAGATAAGGTTTGCCTTCATCGCAAGAGCGACAATCCAAGGCATCAGGGCGACAGCCATCATACCAGAACGGACCGCCAATGGAGGGGAGCCATAGGCAATACTTTCCCAGAACAGTGGCTGAGGGAGGGTGCAGTAGAGAATTCCTAGGGCTAAAGCAAGGAATACTATCACGCAAATAGCCAAAGAGGGAAAGACAATGGGCCTCCATCCTTTTTTGATCTGGATCTGTGGTGTCGGGCGGTAGAAGATGAACCGGAAGAAGGCGACCATGTTGTTGATTGGGCTCACTGAAGAAACGCTAGACTGCTGTTTTGGCACACTTGGTAGCGGGCCTTCGCGAGGAAAGAACTTCATGGTGGACTTGTCAGTATCAAGTACTGATAGTTCGTAGTCTGTGGCAGGAGAAGATGTTTTCGAAGACTGTAATA